AAATGTGAATTTTAAATTTAAGAAAATGAAAAATACAAGAAAATGACAAATGGGAAAAAAAATCAAAAACTCTTAGAAAATGACGTGTCAAATTCGATGAGAATATGACATTTGGCTAAATTGATTTTCATTTATTAGGTTAGAATATATATATATATATATATATATATATATATATATATATATATATATATATATATATAGAGAGAGAGAGAGAGAGAGAGAGAACTAGGTTCAAGTATTCTAACTAATTATTGTGCGGATGTGTGGACAATGTTATTCTATGAGAATTACTGAGATAATAAGTTGTTTAGCAATGCGAATACGTTTACAAAAATATCGTCATTTTCATGCAATCTCGCTAATTATTATTTATTTTTGTTCCCACACATCGTTTTTCACTCATTTTCATTCTGACAGAATACGACCCAATAAACATTCTGAAAACATTCTGACAGAAATGAGAATAATAATAATAAGTGTATAATAACCTTATAGACGATTTAATTAGTGAAAATGTGTGTTAATGACAATAGTTATGTAAGATTGAACGTATTTATATTATTAAACAACATATTTTATTTATCATTCTCAAAGAATAACATTGTCCATACATCCGCACAATAATTAGTTAGAATAGAATAACCTAAGTCTATATATATATATATATATATATATATATATATATATATATATATATATATATATGTGTGTGTGTGTGTGTGTGTGTGTGTGTGTGTGTTCATACGAAAATATAAATATTTTGCAAAAATACGAAAACATATTTTATCTTATAAAAATCAAACACATACACTTTAGAAATTAAATTTATTAGCAAACATACAATTTTGATCAAATCGTAGAAACAATTTCCATAAATTACTTTACAAAAAAATATATCAGATTTGTCCATATAGATTCACATACACGAGTAGAAAGTATTTGCGATAACATAACTAAAGTTATGTAAGACTCTTGGGTATGGGTACCAAAACGACGTAGAGGGCCGATGTGGCACCTCCACAACGCAGTTATAACGTAGAAAACACCGTCATTTAGCTCATTCTTGTATAATGTGTTGGCGTTATAACGTCTTGAAACCAGACAATTTGCACAAAATGGTCATAAGACCGTTGCCAACTATTAACTTAAAAAAAATTAAAAAATTAAAAAATTAAAAAAAAACATTATTTTTTTTACATATAAATACGTACCATTTTACCACTTTTTCTTTTCACCATTCTTTTCTTTCTCTTTATATTTTATACAGTTCAGTACCCTCTTCAACCAAAAAAATGGAGCAAAACCCAAACGCAAACCAACAACCAAACTCAACCTCTCCGATCGGATTCGCCCAAAATGAAAATATATAAACCTATTAAACTCTCAAAGTTCGTTGCCTATACCATCTCAATAAACTTCTTTCAATCACACCTCACCTCCAAATATAGTTTTCTTCATCACCCTAAATTCAAAAACAAAAAATAGGTTAAAACCCAAATTTACAACAAAACATTTTCGGTACTTTTTCATCGATGCTAAATGTCCAAACACAGACAACCACCCAACCAGTACCCACACAACCATCGGTAGAAATAGTTACCGAAATGCAAGTGGGTGGGTAGTAGGAGAGGGAAAGGGAAATGTAAAACGGTTGTCACGGAAAATAAAGAAATTCCATAATGGTAGACACCAAATGAAGAGTACGCTTTAGCGGTAGCATGGTGTGGGACTTCGAAAAATGAAAGTCGCGGAAATGGTATATAGAAGGTTGCTTATTGGGAAGCGATGTTCGCCTAATTTCACGGTATCTTGAAGAAAAAACATACTGCAATTGCGATATACTTAATAGTAAATGGACTCAAATGAATAGGAGGTGCACAAAATTCAATGGGATCTACAACAAGCTTCATTCGAAAAAAGTAGAGCGGTGCAACGACTTTGGCTTGTTTAAATCTGTAAAAAAACAATATCGAGTCGAGATTGGTCATGTGTTCGTGTTTGATAAATCATGGGAGATGCTATGAAGAGATCCAAAATGGACTAACACTCCAACATCGACGGAGGTCCACTATCGAGTCGAGATGGGTCATGTGTAAGGGTGTCAAAAAACCTCGAACCCGACTAACCCGACCCGACCCAAACCCAAATTAGATAAATAGGTTCGGGTTTAATTGGGTCTAAAAAGAAAATTCGGGTTATTCGGGTTAACCCAACAAAGCCGAAAGTTATATAGGATCGGGTTTCGGGTTGAGTTTTTTGATTTTTTTGGGGTTCGAGTGAACCCGAATAACCCGATTAATGGTATCTATATGCAAACACAATTTACTAACAGTTAAATGCATATGATAAAACCCTTTTATGATTTTAAGATTACCTTGACTATTCATGTACATATATACTTTAAGCATTCCACATTATACAACAGTCATTGTAAGACCTTTTGAATTGGTGCACAGGGACATCTTCGAAATCAAAGAATGCAAAACATTATAAAAGAAAATTGACTAATATTTTCCATTGCTACATTGTACAGTACGCTATGTTCACAAACAAATCCATGTATATAACTTTTTTACCGATTTGCATTTTACTATATTTATATTAAATGGTTCAACGATTATAACACTATATATATATATATATATATATATATATATATATATATATATATATATATATATATATATATATATATATATAATCTTGTTAACAAGCTTAAGATTAAATACTCATCTTCAAACTAATTCGCAACTATTTTAATTAAACAACATTTATTGTATTTTATAGTCCATCTTACATCCTAACTTGATTAACCCGACTAACTCGACCCTAATAACCCCGAAACCCGATTAACCCGAACCCGACTAACCCATACCTTAATAGGATTAAGGTCGGGTTTCAGGTAAAACTTCATTTTAAAAAAGAAACCCGACCCATATAACCCGAAACCCGATCGGGTTGACCAGAATAACAGCCCTAGTCATGTGTCGACCTCAACATCGATGAGATTTTGAACGACATCAAAAAGATCTCCCCTCCACGACAACAGCTAGGACACAACAAATTGAAGTGGCAAAACATGCACATAAAGTTGACAGAAAAACAAAACATATGGCAGAAATTGAAGAGAAGTTCAAGGAACACAATTTACTTCTATATATATATATATATATATATATATATATATATATAATATATATATATATATATATATATATTTGTTGTTTGAGCTCATGGATTTCCTTCGTAATCGACAAGAGGAGAATAAGCGGCGTGAGCGACAAGAAATGGTGAACAAGTTGTCAAGTCTTGGGAGTAGCGCGGAAGATTTGGCATCCGAGGATGCGGAAGTGGTACGAGTGACGAAGGCATAGATTCGGGCAAAACATTTGTGCTATTCTCAGGACTATCATTTTATGTTTTAAATTTCTTGTAATTTTTTTAGTCTTATATTTTTTTAAAATTTAAATGTTAAGGTTAATTTAAATAGTATGTTTTAGAAAATTATAATTGTTTTATATTTATTAAAAAAAACTCGAAAAAAGTTAATGACATGGAAATTATTTAGTGTTATAAGACGATAACCATTTCTTAAAGCATCTATCGATAAGGGTTGAATCGAACAGGTTCGGAACAGAACCGATTTTCCTATATTATAAGAACCGGGAACCGGACCGCCGGTTCCGCTTCCGGTCCAGGTTTTTCAGTTATTTTTCAAACTAGAACCGGTTGAAATATTATAGATGATATGTTGTCTTCCAGACCTTGTAAATGATTTAATATTTAACCAAATTATGACTTTTTACATTCTAAATTAAAGTACAAACACTAAATTACATGATGAAAAAAGAATCAGGTAATTCCGACTTCATATGAGTGGGTTATGCGCATTTTATAAGCGGGACAAATTCCAAAAAAAAATGTTGAAACAGAAAATACGCAGCATTGATATGCTGTCTTCCGAGGTCTATAACTGATTCAATATCTAACCAAAATATGTGTTTTTATAGTCTAAAATGAAGTACAAACACCAAATTATATACTGAAAAAAAAATTAAATATTTTCGACGTCATATGAATGAGTTATACACATTTAAAAAAATGGGACAGATTCAAAAAAATAAAAAAAAAATGTTGAAATTGAGAAAACGCAGAATCAATATTTTTTCTTTTGGTGCATGTGTCTGATTCAATATCTAATCAAAACATATGTATGTAGTCAAAAATGAATTACAAACTCCAACTTATATGTTGGAAAAAAAATCAAATAATTCTGATTTTATATGAATGAGTTACGCACATTTTAAAAAAACGGAAAAATTCTGGTTTTTAGAACCGATATTGGTTTTCATAAAAATGGAAAACCGGTAATCGGACCTTGTTACCAATTTCGTTTTCGGTTCTTGTCCGGTTCCGGTTCTGACAGTGCTAATGCTCTATCCCTAAACACGGCTTGTGTGTTATAACACAAACTTTAGTGTTATAAGACAACTGGTCTCATGTTTACCTTTCTCTTATATAATACCTCCTTATTCATTATCCTTCAATTTTGATGACTACATGATATTCCAAACTAATATTAATAAAAACAAGTTCTTGATTTCAAGGTATTTTGTTAAAAAACAATATAATCTTTTAAACGAATAGACCAATAAAATTTTCATATATTATTAACTTGGTTATTTTTAAACATTGTTGAGCATACCGATATCTTTACCCTATACTAACTATGAATTGCAAAAAACTTAAACAATACAGGAATTGATCTAGAAAAAAAAATTAATTAAATTCCCAGCTGGGAAATTATGAAGAAATTACACCAAATTAAAGAAAAAATTAAAAGAATTCCCAGGTGTCCTTCCCCACATCAAGATCATTTTTGAGCTTCCTGCTTCCTCCTCCTACATTTCATATTACAACATGATTAATTATATAAATTAAGAATTCCCCAAAAGAATTTTAATGGCAAAACCAAAGCTCTTCTTTAGCTTTCCCTTTTATGCCACCATCTGCTCCTGCTCTATATACATCTGCTCAATCCACTGCGGCAGTTTATCCCCGCCGGCGCCGCCGTATCTATGCTTTTCCGGTGAACTATGCAGCCCAACTCCAACATCTTTAACCAGTGTATTCACCCATGAAACATCTGGTTCATTATTCATATTTACAGCTGCACCACCACCGTATCCGAAAGATGCAGATTTTCTAAGCTTATTTGCATCTTCACCACTGTAACCCCACTCCAGTTTCCCGTCCGGCGAACCCCATTCGGTAAAAGTGGAGGTTTGTTGAGGGACTGACCGGAGACTCATGGTGGCTCCTGCTCCTCGGTCGATGAAGCTCTGACTGCGTTGCTTGGTGAAGGAACCAGATCTCGAATTCATGACTGCCTGAGCAACTGCCGCCGACGAATCAAACCCATAACTAGCCGGTTTTCTCACCGGAGAAGATGAGTAGTTTGGTGAAGGGTAGGACGCACGAAGTGGGTTTGAATTTTGTCGGAATTGTTGATGACTGGTTGGAGATTGCAACTGGATAGGTGAGTTTGTCATTGAAGATGACACTTTCGGAGATAACCCATGAAATTGGGATAATAAAGACTGATCAAGAGATCCAAAAACGTCGTCGAGATTAGTTGGTTTTAAATTCAGTTCCCCAAATCGATTGTTGTGGTTGTAAAGATTAGTTGCTAGATCATCGATCATTTGCCTTCGTTGTTGCTGTTGAGTTCTAATGTTCTCCGATCCAAGCAACTCCATATCGATTTCCAAATCTCTTGCGTTCAAAGCCGTCTTCAACCTACTCCCCGGAAGTTGCAGCGCCGGCGGCGTCAAATGATTCACCTTGTTCTGCCACATCGGAGATGTAGGAGGGGACATCGGTGGAGTTGAACCAAGCGCCAATGGGCTCATCGAACCCATTTCCATTGAATTTACAGCAACAGATCCTGATTTTGGAGAAGGAAGAGCTGATCCAGTAGAAGCGTACACTGGCCGGAGCTCCTCCACCCTGTGTGCGAAAAAAACAAACTTTTCTAGCACATCCGATTTCATCTTTACATAAACGAGTTCTGTATTGAGCAGGGTGAAGCCATGATTCAAACACTCCATGTGCATATTCGCAGGAATCTCCTTTCACACAGCTTCCTTTTCGAAACTCCGGGCAAGGAACGCAGCTGTAGTTAAACTTTCTGAGGTCACGGCGGCGGGCGTTCTCGCCGGGATGAACGAACGGGCACTCTGTCCAGTCATGAGTGTAAGCTCTTGAGCATGGTTTCACCTTAAACGTATACATCCTAAACTCATCGGACCCATAAACGCCATTGTTGATATCAGGCATCGATACATCAACTGGATACTCCTTTTTAGCGGAAACAACTTCTTTTTCTTCGATTTGTTCTTCATCGCTTCCATCTTCAATCCCAAAACCCCTCAACAACATCTCCAAAACTCTTGGTTTTGTTGATTTGATCCCACGAGCAATCAAGTCGCCGGGTTTGTTGCCTTCACCGTCGGTTAAGTTAACATCGGCGGAAGCTTGAAGCAAAAGCTTCACAACCTCAACGGACATCGGAGACCCACCTGAAGCAGCGCAGTGGAGAGCGGTGGCGCCGTCGGAATCGGAGATTCTGTTAACATCAACCTTCTTCGTGTTGATTATGTATTTGACAACATGAATGCTTCCATACATTGAAGCAATCATGAGAGGGGTTCGTTCTTCCAGCCCCCATCTTCCCTTTACACCCATTTCTTCTTCCATACCAAAAGCTGATCTCATCTAAATTTCCCCCCTTCTCTTCCACCATGTTAATAAACCCAGAAACATCATCAGCAGCTGCTAATTCCAGCAAATTCGAGCATTTCAAGAACAATCCATTGTATTTCTCTTGAAACTTCTCTCCATCCATGACAATATGAAGTTTACCCTGTGTAATCTTACACATGAAAACCTGCAAAATTTTAACAAACCCCATTAACAATCTGTACCCAAATGGCCAAACAAAAAGAAAAAAAAAAACTATTTAGTTCATTGAAGAGAAGTATCATACCTTTAAGAGTGATGATTTCAGATTTGATAAGATGAATGAAGTAAGTGTCGATTGGATCGATGAAGAGAGTGAGTTGGGAGTTGGGGTGAAGGATTTATCTTATATGATGTTGGAAATGAAGATACAAATAGAGTATCGCAGATAGCACACGCTATGGAAGGAGCGGAGGAAGGTGAGATTTTTTCTTCTTTCTTCTATGTTTCTTTGGTCCAAGTCAAAGCTTTCAACAATGGTGGATAAAAGCAAGTTTTCTGAAATGAAATGAAATTCAAATGCAAATTTAGATTCAAATGAATGTGGAACCTGCAATCTACTGATATCTGACTGGCTTTCAACGGGCTTGTCCAGTGGAGTATGAGCTTGAACCGGCTGGAAATGATTTAGAATCCCACGCGCATCGGTTAGGGCGCGACGTTTTTAAAGATATGGATGATGACGTGGGGATCTGTAATTGGTTAGTGTCAGTGAGTGGCGCGTGGGATTTTAAACAAGATTGGATCGGGTGACTGGTTAAAAGATTCCAGGAGAGTGGTCACGCGTGACGCGGTCTCTTTACGTTTTACTCGTTCCGTTATTTCCCACGTGTTGCAATGTTCTAATTATCATTATATGGAAGGAATTTTCCTATCACCCTACCATATTCATTTGAAACTCTCATTTATTTTTCCTTTCACTATATTCATTTGAAATTCTTATTAAACTCTCATTTATTTTTTATATTCATTTGAAACTCTAATGACTTTTCAATTTCTTTCTAATAATCATTATAAATTAGTTAATAGGATTAAATAAATATCAAAACCTAAAGTATAATCATATATATAAACTAAATTTCAATATTAAAAAAATATTTTTACTTCTACAAATAAAGTTATGTTTTTTTTAACTTTTAACATATTTACTTAGTCTATTAATTTTAATATATTGTTGGATGTAATTATTATCATTTTAAAAGTACAACTTTTAAATAATTTGTATAAAATACTTAAATTATAAATTTAAATATAACATTATAGGATCAACTTAAATATAAATTTTGGTTTAACTTAAACAACACAAAGAATATTTTGTAAATAGTTAAAAGTGATAAATTATAGTGTCTTTCTAATAATGATTATAAGTTGGTTAATAAGGTTAAATAAATATCAAACCTAAGGTGTAATCATAAATAAACTAAATTTCAATATTAAAATAATATATTTATTTCTACTTATAAAGTTATGTCTTTAACTTTTAACATATTATACTTAATTTATTAGATTTAATATGTTGTTGTATGTAAACCATTATCAATTTAAAGCTACAACTTTTGAACAGTTTGGAAAAAAAAAATACTTAAATTGTTAATGCAAATATTACATTACAGTGTTAACTTAAATATAAATTTCAGTTCCACTTAAAAAACTCAATGAATATTTTGTGAATAGTTAAAACTGATAAATTGTAGTGCTAAATGCAAAAAACTAAATTATAATCTCAATTTAACTAAAATATTTCCTAAAGATATTTCTATAATCGTTAAAAGTTTTCAAATAAGTAAAAATTACTTACAATAACAATAGTTAAAAATAACTCTATATAAATGATTATATTGTTACCTTTAAAATCAAAAAATAATGTTTGATGTTTTAAATAATTATAATAATAATAGAAATTAAAACGTTATGAAAATAAATTTTAGAAAATTAATTAACAATAACAACAACTATAAATAACATTAAACCATATATTAGATTTAACTTTTTTTATGAATAACTCGCGGATAGAAGTCATTCAAACAATTGAGATTATACAGTTATAATAGATGTATATATTATTATTATCATATAATTCAAAATAATCAATATATTATATTAATTTAGTATACAAATTATTATTCCAATTTAACGACAACGTTATTGTTATATTAAAAAAACATATATTTGTAAATATTTTAACTATATAGGTGTTTATGTGCAACGCGCGGACATTCGCCTAGTTTTTGATAAATCTAAGTTGAAAAAATACAAATCACACTACTCCCATAAATTATTTTTTAAAATTTAATCAAAAATTACAAAAATATAGTAAATTACATTGTTGGTCTATGTAATTTGATCAAATTCATAGTTTTGGTCCTTAGGTTAAAAAATCAATAGGCTACATCCTTATAATTTTAACAAAATACTCCCTCCGTTCCAATATTATTGTCTACAGACAAAAAAAACACAAATATTAAGAAAAACATTAATTACCACTAACTTTATTTAATAAAATGACAGTTTTGTCCTTACTTTGCATTTAATGTTCTATTAAATGCTTAGTTGGTTAAGTAATAATGATGAGATATTTTGGTAAAAATGTTATTTATTTTTAGAAGTGGACTATTATTTTAGGACAAACCAAAAAGGAAATATGGACTATAACTTTGGGACGGAGGGAGTATAGTCTTCATCTTTTTATCCATACAAAAAGAATACTTTGCCATTTCTTATATTATAATCTTTAACAAGATTAAATTGAAAAAGAACCCACCCCATCCATTGTCTTCAGCCATGTCCATATTTCATCCATGACCACCATTAAATCTCTTACCATCAACACTCCTATCACCCTCCACCACGCATCACCAACTAATAAACTACCCGCCTCTTCCATCTTTCTCGTCTCATTTCCAACCCCATTGTCTCTCTCTCGCTCTCTCTCTCTATATATATATCTCTCTCTCCCTTTCTCTATCGTCTATCCACAAACATCTACCATCAGATTATCTATTGTATCCCCACGATCATAAGGCCTTAACTTTTCTCACATATTAACACCCGCTTTCCTATTTTCAACACCATCATTAGAAATAGTTACCATATCTCCCTCATTCTCGACTCTAATCCTTCCAATTTCAATAAATATCCTCTGAATAAGAAGTTGGATCTATATACTCAAGAATCATTATTTAATGATATTACTAATAACATATGATCTTATAGGGTCACACCTTTATCAAGTTGGTTCATTTTGAATATTTTATTATTAATATGATTATTAATAAATAAAATCAACTCTTGTATTTAATTAGGGAACAATTATTGTTTTGTGAAAATAAAAATTAAAGAGTGTATAATTAGTTATTATATCATATGGTATAATTTAATAAGTCATGTACAAAGTTTTTTGACACTTTGGTTAACTTAAGACTAACTAACTAGTTACATTTATCTAGTTGGTTTAACTAGAAAATGATTATGTTTCTTTTTCCATAAAAACATTTATGGAAAAAACTCTTCAAGACCATAACCTATGAGTTTAATGAAGTCTTTTAAAAAAAACAATTTATTTCCATAACTTGATGACAAGTTATGGAGTACATTAAAGACCATAAAGATCATCAAATAAACTAACAAGCATGTCAAAATAATGTCCATGATCTAGACTAAACTCATATGAACAAGATAATTCATATCAAACAAATTTCATGTAATTAGCATAATCATATAAACTAATACAAAACATGAAACTTTGACAATTATCTTATAAATTGGATAAGCATGATCATTATCACATCAAAAACAGGTTTATAAGTTCAAAATTAGCTTAGGGTAATGATCCTAGTCCAATTCTAGCCAAAAACATCGAAAATCTGCATTCTTGAGCACCAACTCGCCGAGTGCAAGAACAAAGTCGGCGAGTTGGTCAGAATTGTGCTGGGACTCGGCGGGTCCACTGTCCAGAACAGCAGAAAATCGATTTTTTTAAGCTTAAACAACAAGTAACATCAAGTATAATTGAAAACAACCCTAGGCTCTGATACAACAGAAGGGTTTTGAGCATTCTAACACTCCTATGGTGTACATGCAACCCTAGATGCTTTGGATCTATGTTTTCTCTATTTATACATGCACACATTCAATATTCCAAAGCATCATCCTAACTAGCATACAATGAAGCATAAACAACATGAAATACAAGTTAGATGACATACCTTTTAGTGTAGTTGGAAGCCTTGAACCTTTAAGAGCTTAGCACCAATAGTATGAATGCCTCAAATGGAATCACAACACACCTAGGACAAAGGTGGCTCTTGAGAGAGAATCTTCTTGTACTAAAACACCTCCATGAACTCCAAGAACATGTTAGAGCCGTTTTTAGGCTATGGAGCACATATTTATATGTAGGATTCCATGGGTCATGGGTTAACCCTAATCCATACTCATGGGTTTATATGATCCATGGTTCACGTGGCCCAACTCTTTATGTATCCAAACATAAACTTAGTCCAACATGGATCATAAGCCCAACATATAAATATAACTAATTTACACAATTAGTCCCCATTGATTTAATTAGTCTCTTTTGATCACTAAATTAATTCCAAACTAATTCTTGATCAATCCTAATTAAATCATATGATTTCATATTAATATATTAGAACTTATAATATATTAATAAACCATAAATAACCTCTTCTCAAAAGTTCATCCTAACAAATTGTCCTGATGATATGCAACCCAAATGGACCATGCTACTCTCGGTTCAAGTACATACCAATTATAGTTATGGGCTTAGACACCTAATCCAACAAGTATCTCCAGGATGGAGTGTTGGGCAACTGAAGTGACGACGGCGGCGTCGGTAGGTTAACGGGAGCATTCCAGTAATGAGCTGAGGGCCGGAAAGGGCATACCAGACTCATGTTATGGGCTCAAAAGCAATCCAGGCCTATGTTGAGGATCATGTAAAGGGTATTCCAGTCATAGGCTATGGACATAAATATTGTGATGGTTATGCCTCTTGTAGGAGCGCGTTCGGAATGGATGTATTGTTGAGATTCGGGGGAGTTGTACTTGGTTGTGACGAATCAAAGGATTATGGATGAGACGCAAGGATAGATCTTTGGATCTCAAGTTATGAGTAGACTTGAGTTATGTTCATAGAGGTATTCCAATCTAGGGTATTCCATCCTGAGGATGACCGAACCCTATGATTGATTGGACCCGATATGTTTGGTATTCCAACCCGAGGGTTGATTGGGCCAAACATGTGTGTGATACGAGGGTATTTCATCCTAGGGATGACTGGACCCATCGTAGGCATGCATGGTATTCCAGGCCGAGGCTGATTGGGCCAGGCATGAGTATTTATGCTTATTAGTGAGTTGATTACGTATGTGATTTCGGGAGCTGAGGGACGCATTATCCTGTCAGCACAAAAAGGGTTCACTTAAAGGAAGAGGGAGAGTTGGGTTTCCGATACTTCGGATCATCGGGACTATTGTCAGGATTGGCAAATGACGTATATGTTTGACCTTCCAAAGGAGCTCAGTCAGGATTCGCGACACTTTTCACGTTTGGCAGCTGCAAAGGCGCATATTGGATGAGTAGGCGGTTGTATCGATGGGTGATGTTCAGGTCGGAGAGCACTTGAACTATGTACGGATACCAGTGGCAACATTAGAAGGGATCCGAGTATACTTGGGAGTGGGTCCAAGATGCGGGAACATTATCCTGAATTGATTGCCGCAGCAGGCTTCGAGGACGGAGCCTAGTTTAAGTGGGGGAGAATTGTAACATCCCAAGATTTGTCATTTATAGTCCTTGGGTTTGGAAGTGTAGAGCCAAGATAAGTATAAGGGCCAAGTTTTCAACCTTGGGTCAAGGAGGAGTACGCTGAGCGTACATAAGAGTACGTTAAGCGTACTAAGGCCCGCCTTAGTACGTTGGGCTTACACTTGTGTACGATGGGCATACTTATGTCAGGATGAAACCCTAATATTTAGGGTTTGGGGGCTATATAAGCAACATTATGAGCACATAACCTCCCTTACCTCAGCCTCCACTACTTAGAGTCGTTTTCCCCAAACCCTAGCCATTTCCTTGAGTGTGTGAGCTTAATGAGTGTTCCTTGAGTGTTTTAAGAAGAAGGTGTTGCATCAAGGAGTTGGAGAAGAAGATTAAGCTTGTAGATCTGAAGTTGGTTTGTGCCCTAGAAGCTCCAGAAGGTAAAAAGCTTCAAACTTTATGCATATATGTATAGATCTTGCCATTTTTGCTTTAAAGAACCATTTCTTCTCCCAAAAAGTCCCAAGATGGTGCATGATGTGATTTGGACGAAATGAATTGTCCTTCTAGACTCTTGAAGGGGTTTTGAGTGATAAAAATGAGGTCCCAATGGCTTAAGATGTCCCATGCATGGAGTAGGAAGGTCTTAATGGATTAAGAACAAGTATTAAGAGCTTTCTGGACGTCCAAAGTGATAAAGTTTGTGACTTTATCGGTCCTAGGCACATTTGGTCATTGGATCTGAAGTTTGGGCTTAAGTGCTTAAGTCATTAAGCACTTACTAAGATTTTGGCAAACCACTACCTACGCCCAGCATAAATCCACTATGCCCAGCGTAAATCCAATACGCCCAGAGTATTGGGTTAACCACCCCGATGGTGGTCAACATCAGAAAGAGTACGCCCAGCGTACCAGAGGAGTACGCCCCGCGTAAGTCCTCTGTTGGGCTTTTGACATTTGGGCTTTGGTTTTTGGGCTGTTTATGGACTAGTTGGATTTGGGCCTTTGCTGGACTTTATGAATATGATGTTTTGGGCCAAGTTTTGATAATCGATCTTGGAATTAGGCCCAATTAGGGAGTTGGGCCCAATTTCGAAAATTGGGCCAATAATGGGCTTTGCATAAGGACTTTCAAGGTTATGGACTTGGCATTGGGCCTTGGCCCAATAAAGAGAATGGACATGATGGATTGTGTGGACCCTTAGTCAAGACTGTTATATTATGTATTGACTTAATATTCGTTATTTGGATAGTTCGGGATTTTTGGTGAGACAGCGATTCGGGAATTCGATTCTTCAGTTCATATCGACATTGCAAGGTGAGTTATCCTCACTATACTCAAGGGTCTAAGGTACCAAGGCCGGCCCTTTGATTTGTTATTTGGAATTGTGAATGCTGTGATATGTTAGCTCGGTATCCTGGTAGATAGGATGGTTATATGCTAGTATGATCTATTAGATCGGTATCCTGATATATAAGATGTGGTTATGCTTAGTGATCTGTAGTTTGGTCTGACTGTCTGTATGCTGGTAGGGGATTACCTGTTATATGTGCACATGATTGATTGGTAGTTGAGGGTATTCCATCCCGAGGATGATAGGATCCTAGTATGTTGTCTCTATAGACTGTTATATGATTATTTGATATAGGTACACATGTTTGATTGGTTATGTGGGCATTCCAACCCGATGGTTGTGGGCCGAGAGTATTTCATCCCGATGGATGCTTGGACTCGTAGTATGTGGGCATTCCAACCCGATGGTTGTGGGCAGAGAGTATTCCATCCCGATGGATGATTGGACTCGTAGTATGTGGGCATTCCAACCCGACGGTTGAGGGGCTTGGGGTATTCCACCCTGATGGATGATTGGACCCATAGTATTGTTATATATGTATTGTGTGTGGGCATTCCAACCCAATGGTTGTGGGCCGAGAGTATTCCATCCCAAGGATGATTGGACTCATAGTATGTGGGCATTCCAACCCGATGGTTGAGGGCTTGGGGTATTCCATCCCGATGGATGTTTAGACCCATAGTATGTTGTTTGTTATATTATGTGTATTGTTGTGTGTATGGGTATTTTTGGGGTAACTCACTAAGCC